GTCTGTCAGTCATATAATGCAGGTCGATGGTCACCACCTCAAAGAGCATGCACAGAGAAGTCCAAATTAAACATGATTTAATGACTCGTAAATGTAAGTACACATTGATGGCCTAAGACACGAAACGAGCGGTTTGTGTGAGAAAACGAACAGTATTTATATCGTTTTTACCTCTTGTAACCACAGCCACGTCCAAGTGATCTGAGGGTGCGGGCGCTTCGGTCTGCGCAAACGCCGGAAGTGATCTCTCGCGCGTGTACGTCACTCATTGTTTACACAGAGATTTCGGAAGTGTTACCTTTAACTGTGAAGATCTAAAGATATTTAGATATACAGGAAATCGCAATGGAAGACGATTTCGATATATCAACAGACAACGTTGAAATTATTTTTGTTTTTTTGGAAGAGATCACTTCCGGCGCTTTCCGGCGCTTGCGCTGACCGAAGCGCCCGCGCCCTCAGATCACTTAGACGTGGCTGTGGTTTCAAGAGGTAAAAACGAAATAAATACAGTTCGTTTTCTCACACAAACCGCTCGTTCTGTGTCTTAGGCCATCAATGTGTACTTACATTTACGAGTCATTAAATCATGTTTAATTTGGACTTTGCTCTGTGCATGCTCTTTGAGGTGGTGACCATCGACCTGCATTATATGACTGACAGACAAGAACGGTTTGACCAAAAAATATCAAAATTGAAACTACTGCGGAAACAAAGACACCTCTTGGATGCCCTTGAGGTAAGCTAAAACATACCAAAAATTAATTTCAAAGTGAACTATCCCTTTAACCCTCTGGGGTTGTTCGTTTAACAGTCACACTTGGGGTGTTCGGGTCCAAATGGACCCAAAGGGCAGGATTCTTCTTTTTTTTTTTTTAAATCATAAAAAATTTTTTTTACTTGTTTTTTATAAAAAAAAAATATTTTCTTTTTTGGTGTTTTGAGATATTTTATGATTTATAATTAATATTTATGCAATAATTATGACATAATTACCTATGACCCATTTTTTCCCATTGAACATAATAGAATTTTTTTATTTTTATTATTATTTTTATTTATTTTTTATCAAAGCTGTATTACATAGTGAAGCCTAGGCCTCATGAAAGCAATTTTTGAAAAAATATAGATGCCATCTGGTGGACACACTGAGCATTTTTATCACGCAATAGCACATTTTTACCACTAGTGGATTTACAGCTCTCTGTAGAAAGGCTTGGGGATTCTAGTGATTTTTGCAAATATATACCAATTTTTTTTCAGGTTGTTGATTTTTAAAATATAATAACAAATTCTCAAAGACTATTTTTGTCTTGTTTTTTGTTTGTTTGGTTGGTTTAAAAGGTAATTTGAAGTGCCAGTTTTACTTTATAATACAGATTATTATAAATATATAATACAGTGTGTGTGTGTGTGTGTGTGTCTGTTTTGCACTCTTGATGTTTTAGAGATTCACCCCTTCACCGTTGAGTCATTTTTTCGGCATTCTGGCTGATTGTATATTGTATGCACAAAAAAACTGTTTTCATATTTTTGACAATTTCCCATTCATTTCCAATGGGGGTCATTTGGACCCGAAGGTCCTAAGTTTGACTATTTTTTTTACAACCACTTAGACTATTCAGATCCTGTCCCCATTTTTTTTGTGTGTTCACATACCTAATACCATAAAAGTCACCTAGTTTCATAACATTCCGATTAAGCTGTGATTTTTAAAAATTAAAAACAGATTTATGTAATCTGAATTTATGAGTGTGTATGTGTATAAAAGTGTGTGTGTGTGTGTGGATGTGTCTGTTTTGCACTCTTGATGTTTTATAGATTCACCCCTTCACTGTTGTGTGCTTTTTTCATGGATTGTTTTTTCTGGGGAAACACTAAAGTTGCCCTGTGTATCATCACCTTTAGTGTTTCCCCAGAAGTAAGTAATGTATGGAAGTATGAAGGAACAATACAATGTGTACAATGTTTGTTGATTTAACAGGTAGTTGGTTTTATACAATATAGCAATTGATTTTGATATTTTGGCCTTAATATAGTGTATATGTGGCTTCCAACATAATTTTTTATCGATTATTACTCCCAGAAATTTTAGTTCATTTACCCTTTCTATTTCAATATCATTTATCATAAAAAACAAGTTTTTTGTTTAAAGTTGTGGCACGATTACCAAAAATGATAAATTTAGTTTTACTTAAGTTCAGTGTTAGTTTATTTGCATCAAACCAGCTCTTCATCTTTTTAAAAATCATTTTCTACTGTATCCAAGAGTTGTTCCAGATTATCCCCAGAACAGATTATTAAATTAGTGTCATCAGCAAATAAAATTGTTTTCAGTGTTTTTGACACCTCCCATACATTATTTATATACAAATTAAACAACAATGCACCCAACACTGACCCCTGGGGGACCCCATAGGTAATTTTCTTTAACTCTGAATTAGCCTATGGCTTTGCAATATAATGTAAGTAGCTATTTAACCAAGAAAGTGCAGTCCATATTTGTGTAATTTCATGATCAAGAAATTGTGGTCAACTGTATCAAATGCCTTCTTAAGATCCAAAAATATCCCCACTGCATATTTTCTTTGTTCTATTGCTGTTGTTTTTCATCAGCCTAATATATTATCACTTTTGCCATTTTCATTTTATCTGGAAAGACTCCAGTTTTCAGAGATTGATTACATACATGTGTTAGAGGTTTAACAACACAACCAATAATACTTTTTACCATAAACATGTCAATACCATTCCAGTCAGTTGACTTTTTACTCTTAAATGTTTCAACAATCTCTATATTTTCTTTTTCATCAGTTTCCTTAACAAAAATAGATTTATTAATATTTACATTCTTACTTAACACATCATTAATACTGCCAGTCTTTGCAAACTCCTCAGTCAAACCTGCATGGACCAACTCCGCAACAAAAAAATAATTAAATTCATTTGCACCAATGTCATATCCTTAATTTCTGTATTATTTTTTGACAGAAAGTATTTAGTATCTCCTGTTTTACCTTTTTTATTCTTGATAATTTCATTCAGCACCTTCCAGGTGTTTCTTATATTACTTCTATTGTCCTCCAGTAGTTTACTATAATAATTCTTTTCATTGTTTCCTATGATTCTGGTTAGTTTGTTTTTATATATCTTATATTTATTTTCTGCTTCTTTTGTCCTCTTCTTTAAAAACTCTTTATATAATACATTTTTCTTCTTACATGCATTTAATATTCTATTAGTTATCCATGGTTTTTCCTCAGATTTCAGTTTTACTTCTCTCTTTACTACAGGACAGCTTTTTTCATAAAGTGATGTTACAACACCAAAAATGCTTCATTCTACGTACACTTTGCCCCAGTCTTGTTTCATTAAATCCTCTTTGAATATATTGATGTTTTCTTGGGTTCTGTGTCGGGTCATTGTGTATATTTTGTTGTCTTTCCTTGTCCTATAGTGTAGCTATGAATGTTTGCAAAAACAGATGGTCACAGACGTCGTTTAAACTAGTCCACTTTCAACTTTTATAGTCAATGATGTTGGTAAATATGTTATGAATTAATGTAGCACTATTTGTTGTAATTCTGGTTGGTCGAGTAATTGAGGGAAACCGGTTCTGTACATCAAATTAACGAACTCTGTAGTTTCTGTTATTGCTGTGAATTTCTTTTCCACTTGTTTTAGGCACTGTTTAATTTTTGAAAGGTTTGCATAAGGTATCTATCTATCTCTATCTATCTATCTACCTCTATCTATCTATCTTTCTAACTAATCTTTCTTTCTTTAACTACTCTTTCTTTATATTTCTTTATTCTTTCTTTCTACCTTATATGTCTTTATTCTTTCTTTCTTTCTAACTAATCTTTCGGTCTACCTTATATTTCTTTCTTTTTTAACTAATCTTTCTTTCTTTCTAACATTTCTTTTAACCTTTCTTTCTAAGCTATCTATCATTCTTTTTAACATTTCTTTCTAACCTTTTTTTCTTTCTTTTTAGCTAATCTTTCTTTCTACCTAATCTTTCTTTCTTTTTCTTTCAAACTAACCTTTCATTCTACAAAATCTCTTTTTTCTTTCAAACACTTCATGTTTTAACCCTCTGGTCCTCTTCGGTCTAAAATGACCAAAAACCTTTACGTTATGATTTATTGTTCTTCTATACTCCTTGGTAATATCGAGTTATATTGTATACTGTCTAAATAAAGTCGATGTTTTCATTCTTTGGCTTTCAGGTTTTACCAGTTATGATAATTGTAATGACTATTATAACTGCATGTATGCATATGATATGACGTTATATTGTATGTTGTTTAATTAAATTAAATCATGAAGTGTTGTCAACTACTGTGTGCCTGATGATGATATAACTCTTTTTAACGAATAAAGCACTTAGCTCCTATAAAAAAAAATCACATTAGGAGGTAAATGAATCAAACACTAATATCAATAAGCAGTAAAAAAGGTAAATAAAGAAAACACATTTAAAGCCAATTTACTAAATAATACAAATATAACAAAATGAAAACCAAGAAAAAAGACAAAAATTACATTTTACTCAATGTATATGTTTTTGTAATATTTTTTAAGTACAGAAACAAGGACTTATAGTGTCACAGGGTAAAGATCACAACAAACTTAAAGCTAATTACAGGTCATAAGGTTGCAAAAATGACCGAAACCTCTACTACCGCATGACGGTAATCGATACACATGTCAGTAACATTTTTCAAATGTACAAGTTCCAGTGTAAAAATTCCAAGAAATTCTCAAGAAATTCCAGTGTAAATGTAGAGTGGGGGCACCACCATTACTCAGAGTTAAATATACAATTTACGTATAAAGAAAAGAGGATTTTTTAATATATCACATAAAAGGCAGCCTTTATAAAATAATCACTTATAATCACAAATAAATTCAACACTTCCCATGTTTCAAATGTAAAATTATATTTTTGTTCTAGGAACAATATGAGAGTTATGTTATGAGTTATGACAAAGGTTGATCTATTCATTTAATAAATGTTCTTATACCACTAATAAAATAAGGTTATAGATGAAAAATGTGTATTTCCTAAAAAATAATATCTCAGTGTTTTTATGTAGACCTAGATCGAGGTCACTTAGTTTCCTGAAAAGTCCCCTATACCAAATGAATGGTATAGAACATACACATGTCTTTTAAATGGATCAATACAGAGGTAAGCAAATGTCTGCTCATTTTCTGTTGCAGATGGGTAGCACAGTCCACCGTGATCCTAATAAAAAAAAATAGCAATGTTAACATTAATAAGGAAAAAATACTAAGTGCACCTTTAAGGATAATGATGCACAAGAAGTTAAGGTACATACGTGAGCAGAAACTTTCAGGATTGTTGTGACCACACTGATCTCTTTTGTATCTGGATCCTTCTGAACGCTGTGAAAAACAAATGAATCAGGTGTTTACATATATATATATATATACCTCTTTAAATATTTGTCACATTACTGTGTATTCAAGTCTAATTTTTTGGTCCCACATTAATGTGAATGTGAAATGTATGAAGAATGCAACATAAAATTCTCACCTGACCAAGTCTTTGTATATCATTTTTGCTGTCTCAGTGTAAGGATCAATGACATCCTCATATTGGCAAAGTTCACCCCCTAAGACCATATGCTTGAACAGTCTGAAGAAAAACTCCTTCCGATCACTTGGACTGATTATATGATAATTGTCAGAGTCTTCTTCAAGCAAAAGCTGTCAGAAAGCATGTCAAACAACAGAGATCAAAGTTCAAACCAACATTTAGATATAAAAATAATCTGTTTGAGAGCACCATAAAATAATCCATACCATCCGTAACTCATCAAAGTCGGGGTATATTTCATGGTAACATTTGACAATGTGGCCGGAAGGACGCAAAATTCCATTTGAGTAAATTGGATCGAATATGTCCACTGACACTTTTGTGCATTGAACAACTTCCACATTTACATGTGTGATGTCTCTACCTGTGAATGGGTACAAACTAAAGCCATTATCAGCCCATATGAAAGGAGATCATATAAAACATTGTGAATGTAATAAAATAGCAATATGCCTTATCATTTGACATTAACATACCCAGCAGTGACCATGATCCAGAGGAATCAAGTACCTTTAAATTGTTCTTCACGCAGGGATCTTGAAAGAAATTCTATAAAACAAACTTATAGCATACACTATTTAAAGTTGCTGTGACATTGAAAGATTAAATTAATGTGTGAATATTTACCCAGGCGAAGTCATTGCTCCTATAAGGCTGGAAAAATTGGTCAAAATTGAAGGCCTGGGTGGTAATTCGACCCAACATGGACCTAAAAGGCAAATGGAAACATAATTTTTAAACATAGAAAATATTGCACAGCTCAAGTGGACTAAAATTCTTCTTTTAGAATGGGTGATTCACCAATATTTGATAGAGGATATAGAAACATTTATTATGTAATTTTTACTGTAATTTTTGTAATTTGTAATTGTACTGCATTTATTGCATTTCCCAAAAGATATTTTCTAAAAGAAGCGTATTACATTATTTTAAATGAATTCTTAAAATACACTAAACTTTTTAATCTTCAGTACCATATAACTTTAGTAAACAATGAGCTTCACGACGGGAAACTACCTAGAAATATCCAGTGACATGTTCATAAAAACCCAACGCCTGACATGCAAAAAGGTCAAATGCAAACAGCTTTACAGCTACATCTGTTAACTTGGGGTTGTCAACAGATTTGATGGGGGTTGATTTTGGAACATCCTTTGTTTTTTAAACATATTATACAGACTAAAAATTTAATTATTTAAAAAAATGCAGTCATGTGACAAAGAAAGTACACCCTTTTTGAATTCTATGGTTTTAAGTATCAGGACATTAAAAAAAATCATCTGGTCTTTAGCAGGTCTTAAAATTAGATAAATACAACCTTATGAACAACAACACATGACATATGACACTGTCATTATTTATTTAACAAAAATAAAGCCAAAATGCAGAAGCCATGTGTGACAAACTAAGTAGACCCTATCATTTAATTGCTTGTAGAATCAACTTTAGCAGCAATAACTTGAAGTAATCATTTCTATATGACTTTATCATTGTGGAGGAATATTATATTGGCCCACTCTTCTTTACCGTGATTGAGTCTCTTCAGTAAATTTGGACCTTAGTTTGGACACTCCATTCATATGGATTTGTTTTACTATCTCTTTATGAACTTTTTGAAGCGTCAAAGTGGTAGTTGTGTAGATGGTCAATGGAGGGACAGAAATCTCTCATTAAAAATATCTTAATTTGTATTTCAAATCAGATGATTTTTTATTATGTCCTGATATGTAAAACCACAGAATTCAAAAGGGTGTCTTTTCACATGGTGATGACTATCATTATTTAAATCTAAATATGCAGCTCTTATAGTACAGTATAGTATAATAATAAGCTGCAGAAGTAAAATAGATGTTTTGTGAGATATCTCCATTTGCTCCAGGGGTGTTGGTTGCATTTTAGGTAAGCTATCTGATGTGATTCGAAGTGCTGATTTAATTTGAGGTATTTAATGCATCTATGTATATCTTTGCATTTTATTGTTTTATAATGTTGTTTTGTTTTATGATTTTCCATGGCATTTTTATTTAGCCTAATGCTCAGCTCTTATTTATTTGTGATTTGTTGGAGAGCAATGTTCTGCTCCATGTTTTAAATGTAACTGTTAGTGACAATCTAGTTAGTGACAGGTGTTTTATGGATGTAGACGTTTATGCATCATCTTTTCATAATTTCATCCGTTTCTTTTCTGCGCCTTTAAAACATCTTGAAAACTATTCATTGACCCATGTGCCTTTTGTTCCTCACCGGTAACTCATGATTGTCAGTGAATTCAGTGAAATTGTACCTACAGAGCATATTCTTACCATTTCATCAGGAGTCTTGATATCTTAGGATCTTACAGAGCATATTCTTACCATTTCATCAGGAGTCTTGATATCTTAGGATCTTGCTGAAACGTAAACTTTTTGGTGGAAAGCAGATTGAAGGTGAACGCTTGTTCGAATGAAAGTGTCTCCCCCGCCATGCTGCTTGTTGTCCTCGTGTTACCGTGACAACTAAAAAGTCGAGATACGTACTACCGGCACATCCGGGAACTTAACTGTCAATTTCGTACCCGCCCCTTTTTAGGAGAAAACAAACTAGTGTTCCCATGGTAGACTTTAATACAAAATAACGGCACAAACCAAGGTCCGTACACAGCCGGTAGGCGTGAATAACTTAAGAAATCACTCATATAAAACATATCAAGTATTTATTTGTCCACCCTGCCTGCCATAGAGTGTGAAACATACATACACAAACTTAATTTGGTCAATTTAAAAACATGTCCCTTTATTCTCCCAGCGTCAAATTGGTGTAACAACCCCACCCAGTGGGGTTATATATATTATAAGATATATTATAATGTATATTATAAGACATAATATACTCAAAAACGAAGTAAAATCATTCACTGGGTTACCATGGTGACTCGATGAGGTACGACTACGAGTAAATGTCGGATCAGACATTTCTGGCCACTGGGTGGGGTTGTTACACCAATTTGACGCTGGGAGAATGAAGGGACATGTTTTTAAATTGACCAAATTAAGTTTGTGTATGTATCTGTCACGCTCTATGGCAGGCAGGGTGGACATATAATTACTTGACATGTTTAATCTTAGTGATTTCTTAAGTTATTCACGCCTGTCGGCTGTGTACGGTCGTTGTTTTGTGACGCTATTTTGTATTGAAGTCTATGGGAAGTCAGGGGAAGTCTAGTTTATTTTCCCCTAAAAATGGGCGTGAATCTGTTCAGAGACATTCTATGACGTAGCGCCAGTTGTGCGTATCATAGTACAAGACTACTGACGTAGGATAAAAATGAGCCAGACGTCTCAACAATCTTTTTTCGATTCAGATGTCGTAAAATGTCTTATTAATTATTTAATTATTTTCCTACACAAATGAAAACCTTCATGTTAATGTTAATGGTAATAAAAAACGCCTCTTTATTCACGACCCTTTATTTATTTAGCTATTTACATTCTGATTCTTTGTTCTGCGAGATCTGTTATAACTGTATGGTCATGTTCTTGGTCTCAGCAATAATAATAAAAAGTATTTTAGTTTAGTAGACTTTGCCTTTCAATAGGCCTAATAAACACATCCTGAGAAATATTCACTGGAGTAAAACGTGTGACTAGCCCCATCTTCTTTTGTTATTTATTATAGTAATATAATCAACATGAACATACACACTCAGCCTGGTTCTAATGATAATCTTTCTATGCAATAGGCCTACACAAAGTAAGCTAAACCTATTCTAATTGACTTTCAGCCACAGGCAGCATAAAGCTTTTAGTCATGCAGTGCTTAATCTATATAGCGGCCTACAGTATATTGCATACTCAACAGAACCGTCTAATCCCCAACAGATGTGTTCCTTGAAGGGCACTTACTGAAGGACACTCAAACCCTTCTGACCATGACCAAGAATTTCTGCATTGATGCCAAGAGCACAGTGAAAATCCCATGTGCAATTATGTTTTTAACAGTTTATGATATAAATTGATGTGGATCAAACCCTTTGCCTTGAGTTTGCTTGTGACATCCATTTCAGTTGAGCTACAGGAGTCACGGTACAAATTAGCTTGGAAGATGCAACAAATGCCCCAGTATAAAGAAAAACATATTTGGCCAATCCAAGTGTTTTGAAGGTAATATATCGTGTTTTCATTCTGTCATGTCCAGGATCTCACAGTGTTTCTGGAAGGAATGCATTTGCGTATGCTGCTCTGGGTCCTGCTGATTCCCTCAGCAGAAACAAGTTTCACATTTCACCATCTGGTTTTCATAGTCAATGCAGGATGTTGTCAAAGTGCAATAAAGTAACAGTGCTTTACAAATGAAAAAGAATTGGTCCGGAGTCCGGACACTTTTTGTTGAGGTGAGACCAGCGTTTCATCTTTTTTTGTGAGGTTTTCTTTTTTTCTTTTTTCTTTTTTGTGTGTGACTGAAGTAAAGAGGCACTCCAGCCCATGCATAGGACAACACTGGAGACAACAGTTCTGTCTCATTGGAAGGTGCGCATCTTCACATTTTCACATGTGGGACTGCCACAAAGACCAAAATGATCTGGATTACTTTATTTCTGAATCTTCTTGCATCATCAGCTGTGGTGAGTGTTGGAAACCTTTCCTTTCTGTCAGCTGTAATTAATGTAGAATGTTATCCTTAAAGCTTAAAGTTTTTATTTACCTTGTCATTAAATGGGATATTTGCTAGAATGTGAAGTATTTCAGTCTTATTATACCGGTAATAAAATATGTTAAAACATCATATGGTACTTACATAACTGCAAGGTAGATAATTCAATTTCATGTAATAATAATAATAATTTGTAATATTTGAACTAATATTGTACTAATTATTAGTTCTGCAAATTAATATTTTCTATGATCTAGAAATTCTAGAGATTCTATGATCATCTTGTGAATATGTAATAATGTGTGGTATGTTTTGTTTGTCTTAACAGAATACCAGCGGTACTCATCGCAATGAACCTGTTATATTAACCGAGGAGTCTGAGTACGTCTCTCTTCAAGGTCAAAAAGAATATTATCACAGAGACGCGGGCAAAGACAAGTGCACTATGCCATGTGAAATGACTGCAAAACTAATGCGCGATGAAAAACATTCCTTGTGCAGTAGGTTTCATTTTTTCTGCATACAGTGTGATATATTTCCCACACTGAGCCCTTTGGTATCTCACTTTCTTTTCACTGTTTTGCTTCACAACTCATTGCGGCACAGAGTTTTATGCAGTTTGTGTATCTTAGGTAACCTCCAGCATACCATGGTGTCATATACAAGAAACACTAGGAAGCTGATCAGAGATCTCATTGATGAACAGCAGAAGGCTTTGGAATTTCTCTCAAGCCAGGTATTCTAAAATTTCCAAACCGCAAAATCCTCTTCTGCATTCTCAAACATATTGGTCTGATTTCTTTTTTTTTAAGATAATAGAGCTTATGGCCAAAGTTAACACGCTCAGTTCAGATGTGCAGAGAAGCAACAGTGACATATTTTCCGTGAAGCCCATGGAGTCCCACGGTATGATTAACATGCTGTCAAACTTTCTGCAAAATATTTCTCATTTACACATCCTCATAGGGAATTCCTTTTCATTCCACAGGGAAAGACTGTAGTGATATCAAAGAGACACTAGGTGTTGTGTCTCCAAAAATCCCTAGTGGAATTTATATAATTCAGCCAGAAAACACAGATGTTTCATTTGAGGAAAGTACCTCCTTTTAGTTTTGTTTAAATTTTTCCAACCACAGTTATTTTAATCCGAAAGCAAATCAAACATGGTTTTATGTTTACACGTGATGAATTAAGTGTCTTTAACTGGCCATTTAGCAGGTGTTCTGTGAGATGGATTACATGGAAGGTGGATGGACAGTAATACAGAGACGGACCGATGGTCTCACTGACTTTAAAAGAATGTGGTCACAGTACTTGGATGGATTTGGACACTTACCAGGTACAGTAAGTCAGTTCATTTGTAAATCAATAAATGAATTAACAGGCATTGACTTTATATATATGTCTCTGAAGGTGAACACTGGTTGGGTTTGAGGAAGATCTTCAATATTGTGAGTCAGAGGAACACACGTTTCCAGCTGCACGTGTCCCTGGTCTCGCAAGATGATTCCACGGCCTATGCTTCATACGACAATTTCTGGCTCGAAGATGAAACTAAATTCTTTGCAATACACCTTGGCAGATATGCTGGTTGTGCAGGTCAGCCAATTGCAAATATTATTAGGGCAATTGGCTGAGCCTGAGTTAAGCTTTTTTTCAACTGTTACACTTGTGGTGTTCCTGGTAAAAAAAAAAAAAAAAAGCTTATAACTCTCTCGTTATGCTATGCCATACATTGGATTCAATCTCTTTATCAACTTGTTTTCTTTCAATAAGACAGGGTTTTGTATTCCTTTTTGGAACAGAATGATCGAAGGGAATATTGGGAGTGTATGTCTAAAAGTGGAGTTAAAGTTAATACAATGAAGGAGATTGGTTTAATCAACAGAAACTCAAAATATTATATTATCTGAGCCACATGAATTATCTAAGTTGATTTGACAAAAGAAAAAGTTATTACAAATCATGAAAATATTTTTTTTACAGTGTGTGTTCCTGTTTTCTGTGTTTGTTTCCTGTCTATCAGTAGTTGACTAGACTTAAAAATAAAGGTTCTTTATTGGCATCGAAGGTTTCATAAAGAACATTTAACATCCATGGAACTTTTCCATTCCACAGAAGGTTCTTTACTATAAAACTGCAGCTCAAATCAATGAGGCCAATAATCAATCAGTTCCAAAAAGAAATACAAAATTATTTAACAAAATTAATTAAATAAAACAAAAATATTTAATCATTGATAATACATCATAATTAGAGATTTACAAGCAATTTGAAAAGTCCCCATTTTTGACCGGGAACAGCAAATTAAGTAAAGTATTTTCAACACAGCTCAAGGATTAAATATGTATAATGTGTTTCTCTCTCTCTCTCTGAAGGTGATGCTTTTCGAGGGTATGACCAAGAGCAGAATCAAGAAACTGCCCCTTTCAGTACCTCTGACGTTGACAACGACGGTTGTTCTCCATTCTGCACGTTTGCTGATAAAGCTGTTGAGAGCTGCAGTGAGAACCAGAACAACACTGGATGGTGGTTTAACCAGTGTGGCAAGGCTAATTTGAATGGCTCACCACTGGACCAAGACCTGTCCACCCAGTCACATATCCACTGGGACACCTGGACCAAAAATGGCACGCTTGTCAAAATTAAATCAGTGACTATGAAGATCAGGAGAGTTGAGATCCCGAATTCAAAATAAATCTATGAGGATTTTGAAGATGATGGATTACAATGGAACAAAATATAATTAGGTCACTAAGAACTTGCACTTCTGCCCTGTGAACTTTTCTAAAAAAAGAAAAGAAAAAGAACATTTGATTAGGAATAAACCTTTTGGGATTGTGATTTAGTCCACCA